TGGCTGTGCCTTTTGCTGTACCGTTGACTTGATAGCTGGCAACAATGTTTGCTATCCAAGCCATTTCACTTCCATTTCGTAATGGAGATTTATTGTGCATCCCACGACCACTGCAACTTGTGCAAGTCTTATGTGGCAAAGTGAAGTCTCGTGATGCTTGCAGTCCACTTTTGAGAGAAACCAACCATTCTATTTCTTAAGGTCACTGAGCGGCATTCTCCCTCAAAGTTGGAAATTGTGTGCTTCATGGCGTGGACACAGATAATTAGTGCCAGCGAATTATTAGGTATTGTCCTTGGGCGACAACCGACACCAGATCAACTCTCCTTGCATTGCCGCTCACCTGCTTTGTCGTGCTTACCTCCCGTCCAGATGAAGTAGATCACGAGCTTCGGGGTAATGTCGGCACCAGGGACAAAAACCGCCGAAGATAATCCTCAATCTTCCCCGGACGCTCGTCAAGACGCGGTCGAGGGTCGTTCGGCACGAACCCTTGCAAGCCAATTCATTGGTACGGGCACCTCCAGTAGACAAGGTCGGCCTCATGCAGTGGTAGCAGAGTGGTTTTCGGTGGGCCATTCGAAGTACCTCCGTCTTCCTCGGTGTACTTTGTTCAGCGCGGACCTACACTGGTTCTTCTCGATATCGAAAATGCTTCGGCATTGGGGTATTTCATTGAATTGGCATTGAATAATAACAGGTAGCCGGTGGTGGTCGTTGTGACTTTGTGGCATAAGTCGCCCTCGTTTTGTCAAATGCTGCTTCGCTCGAAGAAGTCTCCAGTTGAAATGCCTGTCAAACTTCTGAAAAAATCTCGGCGATCAAAATTAAAGCCGGGCAACTGATGGCAGGAACTAGCTTCTTTATCTCCTCCCGGACACCGTTGTGAATGATGTCACGGATGCCTGGGGGGCTGGCGTCGAAGTTGCAACTTGACGACTTGAGTGTCGCAACGCTGGGGAGTTTTTAATAGTGACGTGCTCGGGCCTGCAGTGTGCATTCAATGTTGGAAGCTGTATTGATATGAACCCTTCGACTGTTGTCGTGGGGTTGCGGACAAGGCTTCTGAAGGTGTCCCTCACATGAAGACCATGGGATTCTTAGCTTCTTGTCTTCTGTAGCATCAGGGTTGGCGTGGGTGCTCGATCAGAAGCAAAACATCCTCCACGAAGGTGGTGACGCTCTCGTTGGGGCCGTGTCCTGGACAGAATCAGGAATTCGGCTCTCTCTTGTCAATGTTGGCTGATGAACATGCACTTCAGCTCGGTCTTGCAAACTTACCACGACGTTAAGGAGGATTCGCGGTTCTCAAACCAGTGCCTCACAGTTTCTTCCACGAGAAGTATAGGTTCTGCAGGAGCTGGTTGTCCATCTACCCACTGTGGCGGGCGACATGGTCATATTGTTCAATCCAGCCCTCGACGTCTTGTGCACCTTACGTGAAAGGGCATCGGAGTGCGAGGTGCGACGGGCGTGCAAACGATGGTGGGAGCAAACGTGGTTAGCTGCGACAGGGTTGTCATTGTTGGCTTAGTCAGCTTCGGTTTTTCTGGCAAAAGACCTGATTCCGTTGGTTCTTGCTGGTAGCAGCGCCTGGCTTGGATTTCAAGTTCTTCGTGGTGTATTTCCGAGTTTCGCCCTTGTAGTACTCGCTCGTATTGCAATTTTGCTGCCGGGCTCGGGATAGGACTTGGTTCACGGCTCGCCGGGGGTTTAAGACTCGGGATAATGTGCCACCCGTGTCTTGTTACCGGGCAACTCGGCTGAGGAGCCGCCAGAGTAGACACAGAGTGAAGGGCTATGGGTAAAGTGTGCAGCACCTCCACGAGAACATACAATGACAGCTGAGCATGACCTAGAACTTTCCAGAATAGTAAATATTGATAGAAAATAGGACTGGAGCAAGCATCCGAGACAATATAACAAAACAGACAGAAAAGAGTCTATCCTGACCACTAAAGAAGCTGCACTGCTTTAGTGGCATTCTGTCTGAATAAATCCTCTCCTTCGGGGTCTGGCGACTGCCGTGGACGAGATGAACTGAAATCGATGTGAGACCACTTTTCTGGTAATGAGCCGCTGCAGACTGCCGTCGCAAAGCGGCGTGAATGGGTGGACTGGGTAGGTAACGCGCGCGATGAAATGTCCACACAGCTTGCAATTCGCGTAACGAGTGTTGAAACTTTGGTGTCGACGAAACGTGCGACAGACCAGCGGACTCAATACCAACTGCAACACCTGTGCTCAGTGAAGGTGCAAGTCTACGCCAGAACATTTTAGTAGGCAGCACAGCATCACCTAAAGCACGGCGCAGGAACTACCAGCTTGAAGGCAGCTCTTAGGCGCGCCGCACACCTGTGCTCCGTAAAAGAGCACGTCTACGCCGAAACAATTTGGGAAGCAGCACAGTATCACTTAGCACGACACGGGAACTAAAAGCGGCAAGGCAGCTCTCCGGTGCACCGCACAACCAAAGTGAGCCTTGGGGCATTTGAACGAAGCGACACCACGATTGCACACTGCCAAGCACGACTCGCGCAATTTCCGTCGCTAAACTGTGTATCCAAATATATTGCACAAGCTTTACTGCAGATCTCGAAAGTTCCGACGGTCAACGAGAGCACAGAAACGTCGCCTTAAATTTTATCCTAGCGGTATTCGAATCAATCCGAGGTGCGAGCAACGTAGGGCAGATTGTCTCTTCCGTGGCAATATCGCCGTCGGTCACCAGCGAAATGCACACCGTTCCTCCGTATTTTCACCTTGTACCTACGTCAGACACCACGCTGAACTCTGAAGTCGCTGTCGACCGGCCTCATATGACGGCTTCTGCGCCTGAAATCAACTCGCCGAGACGAACGACAACCAACAAAGCATCCGACAAGCTCCGGCACAGCTGGGGCCAGCCGCTTCATGGGCGCTACCATCTTTCCTGTGACGTCACGCATTTGGTTTGGTCATGTGACGAGTGGTCAAATTTGCGTACAATGGCAGCCGCCTTATGGGGGTCACTTTCGAGTGCAGACCGGAACCCCGGTTTATCGCTCTAAGCCCCTCTACCTCGTTGGGCTCCATCCACGCAAAAGGTCACGTGACTTATAATTTAAAGACATAATTTGTTTTTATTTACATATTATGCTTTTTTACAAGTAAATATAGGATCTAAAAATAAAGAGGTTACTTTTTATTGTTGTTTTAAAGTTAATATATCACGTGACCTTACAAATTCTTAGACAATTTATCAATGTTTCACTGTTTTGTAACACTGATAGGAAATATCATGCATCATAAAAATAGTATCCGTAGATGTCTTTATATTTATGCTGTCCAGGAGTCACACACACGTGTGGGCAGCGTGCGTGCCATCCGTGCGTGTGGGCGTGCAGCCTCCAGCCATGTGGTGTGGGCTTGGTTGGCTTGGCGCGGCTGCGGCCTCTGGGGCCTTCGTCCATGTGCACATCGCTGCTGAGGCGAGGCGGCGAGGCTTCGCCGTGTATGTGATTGGCTTAATTCGTTTAAGGCGTTGTAGTGTGAGCTTATGTGCATCGAAGGGGACAAGTGCGAGCACACGCTTCGTATGTTCTTGACTTGCGCGCACGCTCGCTATCTCACAAAGATTGTGCGAGAAAGGAAAGCATGCATTAGACTCAGTAATAACGAACCTATTGAGAGCATTCAATCGAGAAAACTGGGTAAAAGACTCCAGAAACAGTTTATTTCATGACAAATGAAACAGTAGCCGATGCACAGATGCCACTCGTCCACGAGATCACCGATGGACACGAAGCCCTTCTTGCGGCAGAACTCCTGCAGGAGCCAGTTCACTTCTCTGTGCCGATCATTCTACGCCTGGATCACTGCACTCTGCCTACGCTGACACTCCTACGAAAAGAACCTGTTCTCCCAACTCGGAAGAAAAAGCGATCTGCGTCGTCGGATTGCGTTCCTAGATCTGAGCGGCCAGCCGACGGTACTCGTATGCGCAGGCACAAACGCTGGTGTTGTTTGTGCCAAAATCGAGCAGGGCGTCAGACACTTTGAGAAGCAAAGCCTTGATCCTAATGTTACTAAACACCCGCACTTCGACAGTCACCCGGTTATTCGGTGTGAAATACTGGGACAAGTATTTCACCATCGAATCCCCGGCAACCAAAACTCGAGGCATATCAGAAGCGCGACCGTGTGAATACACAAAGTTTCCTTGACCAAGAAAAAAAAAAAAAAAAAAACCACTTCAGATAAACCCGCTTGGGGAAGACCAGGCAGGAACAGCAGTCCGCGCACAGCAGGAACGCAAGGAGCAATGGCGACCGAGCAAAAGGCAAAACAATGGGAGACAAGACCGTAGGTTGATTGCTGCGTGGACGGAGAGAAGACGAAAAAAGAACTGCTTCCGTCCACGCAAAAAAGTGACGTGGGCGCCGGAAGTGACGTAGTGCGTGGATGGAGCCTTATCTCCTCCCGACATGGCTACATCCCCGCGCGTGGATGTAGACACTCCCAAAAAGGCCATAGGAAATACGTGGGACTGCCAAGTGCTCCACGGCTACACGATAGGTGGCGCGATAGGTGAAAAAGAAAGAGTTTGGTCAACGGGCGTGGCCTGCTTAACAGCTCGTGAATTACTATCGTATACTACGTAACTAGGTCGTTTTAGAGCAACGCACAAAATTTTAGCGCACGCTAGCGCTAAATTTAGCGCTTGCGTTAGCGCACGCTATGCAAGAGTTTTAGATTAGCGTTTTTCTGCCGCAACGCAAAAGACCAAGCATCTCGCGCTTGCAACGCCACCAAGATAGTAACAATTTTTTTTTTTTTTTTCACAGACGAAATGTTGTAACTTGAGAAAAAAACAAGTTTTTTGGTGCGAGTAACATTTTAGATTTGTTTAAACAACGGCCGCCTTGCCGGTCGTGGTTTAAACATGAGAATCTGACGTGAGCGGTCGTTTGGTTGTGTCCGCTTGCGTCGCCTCGGCAAAAGAGGTCTCGTATACTGACCTTCGCACACCATACCTTCGCCGAGAAATGTTCGTGCGTCACAAGCATCATGTTGCCGGTGATCGTTGCCCACCTTACTGGATTTTCCAAACCAAGTGCAATATCGTCCCGTATTGAAAATCGCAGTCGTGAGGATGCCGCCGAAGTCGCCTTCACGACACCGCCAAAGTGGCCGCAGCTATTGGGCCCTGGGAGTCGCCATTGTTTAACTGTGCTCGTCTTGGCTTTAGCCAACTCCTCATCACCAATCCTCCTTCGAGGAGCGTACAGACTCTTTGCGTACGCACGCAATTTTCAAAAAGCAGCGTACGCTAAAACTGCGCACACAAAGCACAAAGCGTGGTTAGCGTTCGGCGCGTGCGCAGTGGCGACGACGCTTTGCGTACGCAAAGTTTTAGTGTGAGCTATACTAAAACTCCCGACTGACACGTCACACGAACGCCATGACCACGCCCCAGTTTGCCATCTTCGAGCCCAGCCGACGTCGAGGAGCAGGACGTAGGTGCTTGGCTCTCGGTTTGCTTCGATGTGCAGTCTCCGGCGATATGAAAGACCCACTGGGAGCGCGTGGCCGAGGCGATGGCTGGCGGGGGCGCTGCGAGCGCTCCGGGCATTTCCATTCTGCTTCGAGGGGAGGACGCTCACTCAAGCTCAGCACAAACTGATAGGAGCGCGCTTTAGCTGAGCCCCGAGTGAGCGTCCTCCCCTTGAAGCAGAATGGAACTGCCCGGAACGCTCGCAGCGCCCCCGCCAACCACCACCTCGGCCACGCGCTCCCAGTGGGTCTTTCATATTGCCGGAGACTGTACGATTGCATTGTTCTGTTTTAAGTCAGCCGTTAGCGGTACTTATGCTGTCTCGTGTTTGTTCAGGAAATACGGTAGGTTAGGCTCCCGGTTACCTTGTCCATTCTCCCTTCGTACGTGCGGCGACGCGAGACCGCTCATACGCATCGCGTATGCCCGGGGCCCGGTGCGGCGAGCAAATTTAGATATCCTCAAATTTCGTAAATTGCTTCTCTTTTGCTTTTTCTTTCTTTTTTTTTTTTTTTTTTTTTTTTTTGCTTGTTTTTTTGGGCGGGGCACGACGACATTTTTTAATTCGCAGCTGACGAACTTTGGTCCGATTTTCGGGTCAGCGAGCACAGACAGGTCAGTACTTTACAGAATGCCATCGACACACGGGATCTTCTGGACTGCAGCCGTACTTTCTAAGGAAATTGTCCATTATATTGTAAAATTAGCTAAAGCCGAAACGTTCGTTTTACGAAATTTTATTTTTTAAGAGCATTTCTTGTCCACCATGCGTGAGCGTGTCAAGATTGCTTGCTCGAAGCGATACTCCTAACATGGGGTGATCGAGCCCTGCATGCCTTGTGCGATCCTCAACCCCGCCATTTAATCAGTGAGAAAGCGATCCTGTCGTCTAACATCATCATCGAAGAAGCCGGAAGGTTTCGAAATAAACTTCGAGCGGCCCAGCGTTAGGCAACTACTACCCGCGAATAGTAAGCTACCTCGTTTTGATTCCACAGATTAATATGCGATTGATTGGCCGTTTCTAGCAGTGCTGAGTACCCGAGTGCCTTACCGTATTACTATATAGAAATAAAAGGAACAAAAAAAACAGCTTTTTTAAGGGCTTGAATTGAGCTAGTTGGTACAATCGTTGTATTGGTCAGCTTGAACCTGTGAATAGAGACGAAGAATTAAAATGAGAGGAGAAGACATCAGCTCACTGTCAACTTGCTTTAGTGAAGAAACTTTGAATAGGAAAATGATACGTAAAAAAGAAAAAAAGACGAAGTTACTTCACTAAAGCAACTTGATAGTCAGCTGGTGTCTTTTCTCCTTTTAATTCTTTCTCTTTCTACACAAGTTCAAGCTGAACAATACGAAGCTTTTTTATACATAAAATAACATTTATTGGAAATAATCAAATGAAGTTTCAATTCATTTTGATTTGGGAAGGAAGACGGGTAAAATAAGCTGCACAGCGTATGTCATGTAGGATGTCTTTCGCTGAGAATAGTCTCACTATGGTCTGGACCACGGCAAGATCAGCATCATATAACTTTATAAGCAAGCAGCTAGTTAAAAAGCATGTGTCCCTCGAGATCAAAATTACTTATCACCATTTAAAAACCCACACGCTTATGTTCGCAACTGTCACGACAGCTCCATCTTATAAATAAACCTTTCACGCCAAAACAAGCCTTCTTACGTCTTAAAGTTTAGAGCCTGCCGAGGGCGGTTACCTGACTTTATCAACTTTATATTTTGACGTTATGTTTCCATCCGCAACCTTACGGTTGCGGTTGGATCATTCAACGACACAACAGACCGTTTTCTAACCAAAAAACTAAGAAATATATGGCACATATCTACTCAATCGCGTTGCACATGGTAAACTGTCTAGCATCGCAAACGTTTAGCAACACTCTGAGTTTCCAGACGCCTACGTTCACGGCGCCCTTCATCAGACAGTTTAACGCGTACCACGTGTACACTTCATAGTTGTTCCTAGAATAAAGCAATATACTATCGCTAATCGGGCTGATAAACATGGCGATCATGAAGAGCCTTCTATACTCTCGAGCTACTCTCCCTCCTCTCACTCCTCCTCGCCTAACCCTCCGGTCACATGACCTTTCCCGTTAACCAATAAGCGTCGAGCATCACTCTTCCTTTCCCACCCGGCAACCAATCAGTGTCGAGCCTCGCGGCGACGCTTTTATCCAGGCTTCAATTGTATCTGGGCTTCACGAAATGCCGAACACCTAGCCAAAGAACGTTTTCCGTTAAAACTAAGGTCGGTACACAAAACATGTTGCCCTGCACGTTCGCACGGCGTCCGCCGTTGCTAGGCAGTTGCTAGGCGCGACGTCACTTCTGTGTGAGGAGCCAAGAGGTCACCGAGGGCAATTGAGGAGTTTCAGCGAATATAGGGGGCGCTCCGATCGATCCAACATGGCGGACAAGAGGGGGATAGATTTGCGACGCCCGTAGACCGGTAACGTATAAGTAAAGCAAAGCGTGTCGTTCTCTGTTTGTTGCCGTGTGCGAGACGATCATCGTTTCAACCAAGACCCACCGTGATGCTACAGAGGAAGTGTTCAAGCCAGTCGAAGGCAAGAAATCTTGCCATAGTCAAGAAATGTGTGCAAGTGTTCGACGTGAGCTCTCACGCTGGTGCAACTGTCGTCAAGTTGAACCGAATGTACGCGGGTCCAAAGAAAGGTATACATATCAACAATGTTCGCGCGTTGAAACTATGACGCGTACTTTATCTAAAACTAAACTTATCGGTCTGCGGCTACTAACATTTTCGTTGATGTTGCTTAGATGATGTAACCATTCAGGCCTCGCATTAAAAGGTGTTGCGAACTCTTCGGTTGTTCTAGCTAATTGTGCTAAAAAGCGGTTGGATGGAAAGTATGACAACTACAGCATACAAGGGACGATTGAGGTCTTTATCCTGCGTTCTATGTATCGAAACATCGGTATCCTTGGTGTTATATTGCGATCAGCTGGTCGCCGATCGTCCTGTTCGAAACATCGGTATCCTTGGTGTTATAATGCGATCAGCTGGTCGCCGATCGTCCTGTTTTTACGCATAATGTAAACAAGCCCCGGAAGCGCCAATCTCATTTCAATGTGCTTGTGCACCCCTACAAGCCTCATTGTGGATCTTGTGCAAAGCCTTATTGTAATAGCAATAGTCTCTTCGGTCATTCGAGTTGTATGTGCCACGGTGATATCTGCTGTGTGTGATCTACTGATAAACAAGTCTGTATTAAATGCGAGAAGGAGAACGAAGGTAAAGCTTTTTTAACTGTTTTCTTTTTACAGAACAGGGCAAAGCTTCTAAAACAAGAGCAACCAAAGCCGATATTTGAGTGTGCTCAAGAATGAATGGCAAAAGGTGCTTATGCTAAGTGGTAGATGTACGCAGTTGATTTTCTGTTTGCCTCTGCATTGTAAATTGGAAGATATGTATCAGCAGAAAACACGTGTTCTTTTGAAAATGTCTTTTATCAGGGCAAAAATAGGTTTTCATACACAACCGAAGAGTTTCTCAACACCATTTAATGCGAGGCCTGAACGTTTACATCATCTAAGCAACGTCAACAAAAATGTTTGTGGCCGCAGACCGATAAATTGAGGTTATAGATAAGTATGCACCATAGTTTCAGCCTCAAACACGCAACATTGTTGATATGTACCTTTCTTGGTGACAACCGCACTAACGTGAGAGTGCCCACGTCGTCGAACACTTGCACACATATGTTGACTATGGTATGGCAAGATTTCTTGCTTGAAGTGAAGATCATCTCGCTACGGCTAGCCACAACCACCCACCGCAGCGATGCATAGGCGTCGGAGGGGCGCAACGCAGTCAGTTGCCGTCACCCGACGCTGCTCGTTTGGCATTCACGGCTTTCCGCCCAGGTGCTTCGTTTGTACTTGGCACCGAGTGTTATTTTCTGTGCTTGTGTGCTCAGTGGCTGGATATAAGCCCCAAGAGCAGTTCTTCAGGCTCAATGGCGTTCGCCGAAGAACTTCTGAAAAAAATGCCACCCAGGAAAAAGAGCACAAAGACGCAATGCACCAGCTTGGCGGACTATGCACTGGGCGCGGAAGTCGGGCCCTGCGGATTATACACCAAATGCAAACTATCCAAAGAAAACAAAAACATTTTTAGGCTCAAATTTGCTTCTGCGGACTATACGCATGGACACTGGTGCCTGTTATTATGCATTGTATATTCACTGCTGTTTCTTGTGGCTTGAGACTGCCTTCCTGTAATGATGCAGAGGGGTCCACTGAACCTTGAAATAAAGATATTTAAGCACATCTAGATGCAATGTCCCTTGAAGCCAGATGGTTAGGGAAAAGGTGTGCCATTACCTAATTTGCCAACAGCACACTAATGGTCACAATTAAAACTCACCGAGTCAATGGGCAGTTCTCCACCACAATATTTATTGCCGTGTAATCACCAATTTGATCCATCAAAAATATTGAGGCAGTAGCCTATAGCACATCCATTCTGGATCTGCAAAGCTTATGCTGTAGACATGCATCATCACATGAGCATGTTTCTTATCAATCTTAAGGGCACAGCTAGGGTAAGTCCTATACTCGCCATGCATTTGAGGCCATGTTGAGGAACAT